TTTAAAAGGTGATTTCTGAACAAAACTTGATTATTTTTCAATTCAATGGTTATTTTAACATGTTTTAAATTTAAATGGAAGATAAAGGACCACTAAAAAAATCATAGGTTAAAAATTTGGATAAAAGGGTCGTATTTTGCAAAATTACTAAATTACATTTGTTTTCCATTTCTTCTCATTTCATAGAATAAATCTCAAGTTTAATAGCATCCAAATTAGATTTTCCTATATTTCCATTTACGTATCTTCTGAAACTGTTTCAGTTAAGTTCTGAAGAAGCTAACGGCGTGATTGGCAAGCTTGGACTATAAACAACCGATCCAAAATCCAGAAGATTTGTAAACAGTTGTTACGGTAGCTTCCGGAAGTGTCTTTCAATAATTCTTCTATATTTTTCAATAGTGGTGGTTATGGAAAAGACAGTTTGAGCCTTAAAACTTAAAACGATAAGAAACCAGGAGTTTTCAATAAAAAAAACATATGTTAAAGTGTAATTTTTGTAATCAATTTGACTTTGACCTTTGACCTTGACTATTGGTTTATACTCACTTCTCGGTTGAAGTTTTTGATAATTTAAATGCCCTTAAAACGTATTACTACCCTCTTTCGTTGGATCATACCAATAACCCTTTAACTATTTTGATGCGTTGTTCTTATCCTTGAATTGAATCCATAGACTTTACTCACATTAATTAAATCGGTATGTTCTTAAGAATTTTTGTATGGACGCAATTTATTAAATAAATTAATTCATTAGTCTAATTGCTGTGGCACAAAGTATTCGCCAAAAAATATTTCGTAATAATGTGAACTCCATAACGCGAGAAGGCTCGAGTGAAGTTCTCAGAATTAATTCGAATATGAGTGTCTTGATGCAAAGTCGCCTTCAGCAGGCCATGTGCAATCTCGAAATCTGACACGCGCTGCTTTACTGCACTTAAAACTTTTTAATTAAACTTAGGCCCCGAGCGAAGTCGAAAAGCCCGTTGAAATTTGATGGAGATTAATTAGGAAAAACTGCGGGTGCCAAAGGTATTGGAGAAAATGCATATATTATCTAAATTATTATTGACTGTTGCTGCAAACATTTATAGCATCTTTATATATAACTCCAAACATTCCTTGTATTAATTTTTATAGTTTCAAAATTGATAAAATATGTAGAATACTACACTGGTGACAAAAATACTTCAAAATTAACAAACATAATATAAATTATAAATTATTGTTTTTACCGAAAAAATTATGTTCAGTCAATACTGATTTTAAAAAAACCAAAGTTCCGTAATAACTTTTTAAGTAATATTATTTATACTCAACAGTGATTATAAATATGCTTCATAGCTTCCGAATTCTATGAGAGTGCATTCTTGTCTTGCGCCCTTCTGAGACAAACGTTGGCACATAATACACAAGATTTAAATTCCTTCCGCAGTTCCATAGAGCTTTTAGCAAATCCTAAATATTTAAGCTATTTTCACTTGTTTTCTATCAATTTTAGGAATTTTATTAGATTCGTCCAGATGGTTTTGGTCTCAAATCCATAATACTGTTTAGTTACAATAAGTGTTTCCCTGGCAGATTTCGTTACCAAACGATTCACCTCTTCATTTTCTTTTACACTTTGCTGCTCTTTATAGAGTTAATATGTTCAGCGCTAATTGATTATCTGTTTAGATCTGTTCCGTAATCAGTTGTATAAAAGGCAATGTTGACGTCCGAGAGTTCTCGATGGTAGATTTAATGATGAAAATTTTAGAAGTCCTGTACATTCTAGTTAAGGGTCGGAAGGTGGCGCAATTCGGATAACAAAATAAAAGCACGAACATAGCGCAATGCTCACACAAATACTATTAAAGGACCCATAAATAATAAAATAATAATAATCTTTATTGTCTAACAGATTAACATCCATTTAGAAGAAAATTTCATTTTAAGAACTATAAACTATAACTGTAATAAAATAAGTGTTAAACTATATTCACAACAGAAAAATAATAATGAAACGTACTAATTACGTTTAATTAATGTGGTAAACTGTGAGCGACTTCCATAAAAAACGTCAATTTTATTACAGAAGTCATTCAATATTTTCATCAACTGTGGGTTGTAACATAAATATAATTTTATAAAAATATGTTGCTATTTGCTATTAAGCTAATCATTGGTCACCGAACGGCAAAGGTTTGTGTTTAAAAATGTTAATTACGAATATGAAAATTACCAGTACTTACGTACGGAAATCCCACTTGCCTGTTCTCAATTCAATTTAATCAGAAAATGTTTGTGCGACACTTCTTACTAACAACATTTTTGCGGTTTTGATCGTAAAAATGGCAACGGTGTTGACCAAAAACAAATGCTAAGCAAAAGATTATATTTTCTATTTTTTGCTGCTGGCGCCTTCAAGCACACACATTTACAGGTGAGTGCGTTCTTAATCCAATTAAATATTCGATCTTCGTTAACAGATCTATCAACAATGTTTGCTTAACATTTCATACAGGCTTCTAATTAAACGCGAAGGAAATGCCAAGACCCGTCGACCGGATTAAGAAATTGACAACAATTTCATCGCTTGTAATGGCTAGATTACCCACTATAGCAATTAATACAGAAAAGGTTAATCGACTCATCGGTAGTTGCGGCTTTAACATTTCAAATTTCGTAAGTTTTTCTATAACAAGTTGATACTAATGTTTTCTAACATTCGTCACAATCGGTATTCTAAATTATAAAATAATTTTCAGGTAGGTGCATTTTTACGAACTGTACGAACGTTATTATTCTTATTTCATGGGATTAATAATGTTAATTAATAACACATTCACTTAACAATTTTTTGGATATTATTTTAAAATTCATAATGTACTTGACATTTATTGGGGATATTAGCCATTAGTTCCTTAATAGTCGAGTTAAAAGCAAAAATACGTAAGTAAGCGTTTACAAAAAAAAAACGTAAAGCGTAATATTCACACTATTAAATACTATCTTTCGAAAGTGTAACAATATATGTATATTCAATTTTTTTGTTTAATATTAATTCACCTATTGCTGGTATTGTTGGAGGTTAAAGGATATGAATAAAATTTTACAATGTATTTTAAAATGGAGGTGAAATGGTGAACATTATCATATTAATGATAACAATAATCGTAATGGAGAGTTTGTGTACAAAATAGGGAAAATATTGGGAAATGGTATATTTAAATTTGGAATACGGAAAAAAGTTAAATATGATTAATTTAAAACAATACTAAAGGGTGATTCAATAAGGGTTTCCACATTAAAATAATAAAAAAACTCTGAAGAATATAAAAATATACAAAAATTTTTATTTGCAATTTTAGATTAGTGTATTACAATTAGGTATGAAAGATGATGTCATTCAAATGACCCGCGCGACTCACGTGGCATGATGTAAACCGTTTATTAAAATTTCCTATCACTTTTTGACACAATTCAGGTTCTATGCCGGCTATTTTGCGTCTAATCTCCTGTTTCAGCTCTGGAATAGTGTGTGGTTTATTTCTATACACTCTGCTTTTTAGATACCCCCAAAAAAAAAAACTAGGGAGTAAGATATCCCCGTTACCTGAGATAATCCGACCAGGAAACTTGCCCCGCAGCAATTGCCTCGTTTCTCTGGATGTGTGACAAGTGGCTTCATCCTGTTCTTCACAAACCTTCAATAAACCTTCCAACTGCTCTCCAAAAAAAAAAGAGATATCATGTTTCAATAGCGAACACCATTAACCGTAACAGCGTTCTCCGCATTATCCTCGAAAAAAGAAGGGCCAATTATTCCTCCGCGCCAAAATGCGCGCCAAACAGTCACTTTTTGAGAATGCAAAGCTTTTTGAACAATCTCTCTTGGATTTTCTAATCCCCAAATACGAGCATTGTATTTGTTTACAAAGCTACCAACGTGAAAATGTGCCTCATCCCTAAAGATGATTTTCGTTGAAGAATGAATCCCTTATTCTCATATCGATTCTGCATACACGCGGCGCCGTTGATGATCTTGAGGTTTCAACTCCTGAGTTATTTGGACTGTATATGGGTAGATGGGTAGATGCAAGCTTTTTGTTAAAATTCGCTGTGTGGTTGAGTACGTAAGGCTCACTGGCTGCTATCGATGACGAATCGATGTGTTTGGATCTTCGGCTACACTTTCGAGAACAATAGCAATATTTTGATCTGCACGAGCACGTTGAGGGACTTTGAGGTTAGTTACAGATCCAGTTTGCTCAAATTTTTGAACCACATTCCAAATTGTCCTTTGAGAGTTTTGGGATACAGTGTGTAGAAATGTTAGTTTATCGTGTTTGTAGTTGTGTGATGAAAAAATGTGTTTATTATTTAATTAAATGAGATTAAATATTGCCCTCAAAATTTTCGCATTTAATTTTCTCAGTTCGACTATTTTATTACTTTAAACTTCTACTATTAACTTTCGCCAAAACTATATTTAATTTGAATTTGTTTCTCTCTTTTATAGTGTAAAATGAAAAATCTCCAACGTTCTCACATTTTTGCACTGCACTGCGCCACAATCAATTTTGTAAAATTTCCAAAAAAAAGATTAATAGAATAATTTAGGTTTTATCAATGCATGTTCTTTTAAAAATTATGGGGTCCGCCAAACGAAATAACTTGCGTACGTATTTAAAGAAGTCGGTTTTATTAAACGACCTTAAAACGAACCGCTCAATCTGTTTCGCACTAAGCTTCGCGATTCAACCGCCTCAAATGGTCGGCGGCAGCACCGTCCAAGCAAACGCCAAATTCCGCGTCAGTCGGCCGCTGTGCTCTTCTCTACCCTCGGGCCCGACGCCGACAGGCGTCGCGACGTCACGTTCTTCTTCTTCGCGATGCGTCGCCGTCGATGGACCATCAGCAGCAGCAGCAGCAGCGGCGGTCTCGTATCCCCGCCCCACTGACTATTTAAACTAGCGCCGCGCTATTCCGTACGAGTTCATTTCTTCATCGTCCCTCGTTCAAAGAAGATTCGCTCAGTGGGACGAGACGCGTCACATTACACCAAGTTTGGTAATATTGGCGGTCGTCTCAAATATATTGTTCGACGAGCATCCCCTCATTCGAGGTATCGCGAGTGTGAAATTTAAAGACTGCCGGGCTGCCGTTCATAAAACCGTGTGGATTTTTGCGGTTAGTTTTCTTTTCAAGAAGTTCTGAGAGAGGTAAGAGTGCAGTGGTTTGCGTTGTGCCCTTAAGATGAGTGCCCTTCCGAATGGATTATATCGCACGTGAATTTTCGGCTGGGATTTGGTGCATGCTATACTCGCGCCCTATTTTATTAATATTCTTTAAGTGAAATATTTTCCTGGAAATTTTAATGAAAAAAATTTTAGAAACGGTTCAATTTGGCTGGTATTTTCTTTTAAATTTAATTAATTAATTAATATTCGTTACTTGGTCTAATATATTTTGCTTGTTCGTTTATAAAGTGCAAATAAAAAAATATGTGTTTAAAAAATTAAATCAGTGTATTCAAGCGGACTTTTCAACCGAATATTTTATTTCTTTTCAATAAATTTTCAGAAGTTCCTGATGTGATCCATCATTGATATCTCCGATTCCTCGCTACTAGAAAAAATATTTCAAGGAGTTTATTGGGTTCATTTGGGCGCCATTGAAATGAAGAATATTCTGCTAATTAATAATTTAAATGTATATATGAAAAAACTTGAGAAAACTGAAATTTTCATTTTTAACAAATATTGATTGAATTTAAGAAAAAAACGTAAGAGGCTGTAAGAAGTAAAATTAATATTCTTCGACCACTTTTTACATAATATTTCGAAATCTTTGTTACCCAATGGCGAGGGTGACTTGTCTTTCTTAATTCTTCACACGCAACTCAGTATACATTAACGTTCACAAATATTGACTCAAGAGGATAAACACTGCTTTATTAACCCAGACGGAAAAAGCGAATCTTTTTCGAAAAAGGTCACATAAGTGCAGCACTCTGGCGTTTTTTCTTATATTTTATATAAACAATCTTGACCCTGAGTGTTATAAATTACGGTGTTTAAAGATGCAAATTGACCGAACGCAGATAAAGGTGTGAAAGTGCATAGCGTCTACTTTTTATGAATGAGTTTGGTGTGGCCAAGGTTGGACTCGTAGTAATAGTAAAAATTAGTTGAGTCAATTTTTAGTCTGTTATGCAAATGGTGATACTTAAGACACCGAGATACCGAGATAAGATGTCAAGTTCAAGCGGTTTTTCTACTTCGGAAGATTTTTTTTACTTAATTGAAAGTAACATAATTATTATGATGATAATAATTTTACTGATGATTGGAAATTATTTTTATAATTTTTTTCATAAATAATTGGCAAATTAGGATCTATTAAAACTACTTTTATTTTAACATTTTCTGGATTTAAAGTTTTTAAATGTTATTAACGAAAACGTGCATACATCTCTGTTCACGTAATTTTTTTTAATACATTTTATTATATACAAAGAAAATGAAATTTACATCAATTTTCAATATATTATTCAGGTACGTGCTTATTTCTTAAATCTTTTTAATTTTTGAGAGCAATAAAATATTTCTTAAATGTTAAAAGGAAACAAAAGCTCAAACGGCTGCAAACCAGGTTCAATGGAATACTTAACAACATTCTCCGGTAAAATAACAATCCTTAAAAGCTTGTAAAAAAAAGTGAACGCATTTCTTCACCTGTCTCGGCAATAATAAAATGAATGAAGTCCGACGCTCTACAATTGACTTTAAGGTTTGTTCTCCGTAGATTTTTAGATTGCGATTGGAAATTCCTGGTAATATTTAACAAACAGGATTAAAGATTTATCACAGCAATTGTTTCTTTTAGCACAACAAAAATGCAATTTTATATTTGAGTTTTAATTGTCATTGTCATGTCTGGGGAAGCGAATTCATTTTTCTTACTTTTATAGGCTTATTTGTCTATACTGAGCTTACTTAAGTATGATTTTGCGGGATAATATACATACATACACATACATAGAAAACACCGTTATCTGCTATGCACAGAATGTGATGACTGAATTAAGTGTTTAAAAAAATATTTTTTTTTGTAATTGACGGATGTCTATCAAGAATTATTTTAATAAGTGGCTTCCAAAGTACTAGGAGAACCAGAGTTGTGTGTTAAATAGAAACCCTTGCATAGTATGTTATTTTTGTGGTCCAAAGTGACTTAATATAGTTTAATTTTACAATTATCTTTATCTTGATTAATTTGAATTAAATTCCATATTGTTGAATTTAATACTTTGTAATTCCCTATCAAATGGTATGGTAAGCTATGGCCAGGTCTAAAATTGATTGCAGAATACAACAAATTAAATAATATTTTTTGTGCATAGTGCTTCAGCTCAGGCTGCATTTCATACGAAGCATATACATTTATTTATTTTTCTGATGCGTGAATATATCTTAGCTACAATAATCAGTTTAACGATTTTAAAAATAGAAATAACCACTGCGCCCCTCGTAAGTAAAAGGCAATTAATGTTAATAACAATTTCTTATAAACCAGATTGGCGACCCAAAACTGACACACAACAAACGACAGTAAAACACTTATTCTGTAGGTCAGTAGTGCGTATCTGCCAACGCGCGAACACCAATTGTTTTGGCATTGTCTCAAAATCCCGTCGGTCAAGTTAAAACTAGAGCGCCTTTTGTAGAAGTTCTCGCATGTTGTATTCGATTTTTTTAGCCCGATTTTACAGCTGATCTACATGCCTGCGACAAGACTAGAACTCATTTTTATTCATCGTGCCTCCTCTGTCCGAACTCATTGACGTGGTCGACGGTTTTCGGCGAAAATTTGGTCATTCAAATTTCAATGGAGGTCATACCAGTTAAAGTATCAACCCATGATTAATTAAATACTTTACTACCATCTAATCAATGCAGTGTTAATATATACATATAATTATAATGTCTTCCGCATTAAAATAATAAAAATTACATCAAAGTAAATTTGCAAAAAAAATCAAATAAAGAAAAGCGACCATACATTTGGTTGTAAGTCAAATAATAGCAGTATTCCTGCAGACTTTCAATTAACTTTTTTTCGGAACTTTTAAAAGCTAATTTAAAGAACTGAGGAAGATGATTAAATATCTAAATTCCGTTGTAGTAGATTTATTTATGAATCAGAACAATGGGAACGTGGTTGGATTATAGTCACTGGAGTGAGAAGATTTCCCTCAAACGTCTTTGCACTGTTCTATTTGAGCACTCTCCAAGCATTAGACATGTTATCAAATTTAGCTGACCTTCCTACGCCAATGGTTAACCTCTACCAGCTCGAGTACACAGGAAAAATTTCGTACATTTTTTTCGTACTGCCTGCCACGGAGAAATACTACGAATAACGCATAGACACACTCGCACACACACGCGTCTACACATATACACGGAGGAGACATACGTAAAGGAATGTCCTGGGAATTATCGGAATCAAATTATATGTTAGAAGGAGATAGCTGAGTGGCATATAAATTAGTCACGAGCTACGCCAGAAGGCATTTTTTTAATCCATCTACGGGGGTTGTTCGGTTAGTAGCGACAGGGACAAATTAAAACCAAAGCAATTAAAATTTGTCTGAAGAATTGTTACATATTCCTGTATCATTTGTTTCGTCAGAAATTGTGCCCTTTTTAAATTTTTAAACAAATAAATTTTATCGTGTTAACAACCAGACTTTTCACATTTTAGGATCATTTAGGATTTGAGTTAAATTTAAAAATATTCTCTTTGTATATGTTGGTATTACTCTTTGTATAGTTTTTGAAGGAACTTCCATGGTCATGGAATGAATTGATATGTAATATTTACTATCGTGGAAAGTAATATTGAGTGATTGATAACAAACTATAGTCACATTTCTAGCGGCAGTTGCAGCACAGAGCGCCTGCTTTTAAATTCTTCTGTAGTAATATGGTATAATTTTTGAATCATTTTACAGCAAGGAGGATTCTATATTTCAAATAATACATATCTGAAATATTTTTTTTCGCTAAATAATTGAGATACCTAGTTCTTATAATGAAAACTAGTGAACAGCGTGAACATGGCATGCAATTTGATCGACGAATGTCAATTCTGAATATAAATAAGGCTTTTACCTTTAATATATATTTTTGGCATTGAGCTAATTGTGAAAATTTTGTGAAACCTTGTTTAGCAACGTAAGGAATTAATGCGGCTGATTGCTTGTGCAAAATCGCGCCGAGGTGAATAACAATGTGTAAAAAATTGTCAATAGCGTATTAAAGTTTGATAGTTGCCGATTGCCAAACTGTAGCTTTTTATTCTTTAATATGAAAATTTGCTTAAAATGTAACTTGGTCGCATGGTTTTCGCATAGAATTATTTTAAAAAAAGGATAAAAGGAATATCGTAAACAAATTCAAATCTAAGAACTTCTTTATCATAGAAGCTAGGAAGTCGGTTACATTAGTAAGGATGTAATATGTTTCCAGCCGTCAAAATGAATATAAAAAATTACTTTTTTAAATGGGATGTCCTGTATATTTATTCACTATTCCATTTGAACGACTTTTTTTGAACATTAAAATCTTAAATCTTAGTCTGACTCCCCCAACAATTTCTTCAATTTTGATCATTGCAATTTGCTTTTAACGATTTTTTCTTTAATATTTCTTTAATATTTAACATCTCCTGAAAATATCCGTCATACATATTGTGGTTCCCTTTCATCAGCAAACTGACGAGCTGAGAACCCAGCACTAGGTTCTAAGTGAAAAAGTTCAAAAATAGAAATAAACTGCCTAAAAACACGCTGGAACAACCTTAATTGAATCCAACTCATAATTGATGAGAAAACAAATAAAAATACACTTGTTGACGTTGTTTTAAACATATAGTAAAAAGATTATAACTCAAACGTCTTAAAAACTATTAAACAAAAACCCCAGGCCATTTTTAGTGTAAATGGCAAATGGTAGTCAGAGTAACCTTGAAATGAATAAAACTTCAAGTTTAATACACGCACCGCAGCGACACACATGTGGTCGGCCATGTGGTTTATCTCCCGTATTTCACCCTCACAGCCCTCTTTGAATTTTACTCGATTTTAATCGTCGCTTCCGGGTCACTCGAATTCAACACTCGAC